TATATATATACACACACACACATACATATGACAAGAAAAAAGAAATGGAAAATTATGTGTTGACAATAACATGTATGTTTAAGCCACTTTACAGTGTATTCTGGCTGGAAAATCACATTTTGTATGTTGTGGTGATGTCCAGTGAAAGTATGTAAAATTAAAAAAAAAATAGTGTCTTCATCAAATAATGATGATTGGGGGCTTATTAAAATCCTGGCACCAAGTCAAGTGTTCCCTCTGGCTCCTCATTGCCTTCAGGAACAAGATTTTAAATGTAAATTTCATCCAGCTTATAAACAAAACATTTGTTGTTAAGCTCTAGTCTTGTATCTGTAACTGGCCACAATTAGCCTGACTGGCAGAGATCTGGTGGTGACTGCTGCTGGTAGGGCACATGGTCCAGGAGGAACTAAGGTTAACTAGTGACCTAACGTTGATACTCCCCCACACACACAGGTAGAGTGTATAGATGCTGGTGCAGTAGAATGACCAATCAGAACAGTTCTACTCTCAATAATGGACCAATGGGATTGCTGAGTGAGTTGACCAATCAGAGCTGAGGAAGTGTCAATCCTTCATTTGCATATGCAGACTTAATTAAAGACTTTGGTAGGAATTATTTCCCTATAAAATCCTATCCCCAAATGCAACTGTGGAGACAATCTTTTGAGCAAACCTGCTCGCTTGTCTCCCAGATGATATCACTGGTAATAAAGCCTTCCTCCTGGACAAACCTGTGGGTCAGAGTTTGGCTTTTCTGTTGGCAAGCAACTATTCCTTGTCTGTACCTACTTTGGTTCGGTAACTCATGCATTTCCTCTGGTCAGTAGACCAAGGCATAAGTCCCTCAGCTCAGATGGTGAAAGCGTCACCACCCACCCCCGCCCCCTCAAGTTTATGGAAGCCATTTTGTTCTACATGCAATGAGGCTTGGCTCAGAGGAGCAGGATTAAGCCATTCTCACGTGAGGAAAAATGCTGCTGATGGTGAAATGAAAGAAGACACTTTATTAACTTTCTAATTTTTCCAGGGACATCACAATAGCTTCTATGTACCAGACAATGAAAAAAAATTCTCTGTGTAATAAATAAATGAACTGGGAGTATATATAGTTATAGTATGTATATATGTTTAGACAGTTGGTGAGCCCATGAAATGATTTCCTGTGATCCTTTTTGCTGTGGCTGTTTATCTTAGTAAAAGATGGGCTCAATTCCCAGTAGTAAAACGGAAATCCAAGCTTGCTCCTAAGAAGCCAGCCAGTGAAATTTCGTATGGAGTCAGTTGAGTATGTTGGAAACCTACTGCTCCCAGTGTTCAGCTTGTTTACGAGAAGCTGGAGCTTCACCTGTTTCTGGACCACATAACCAACCCAAACCTCAGAGATGTTAGTCAGAGCTGGGTCTGAGACTCTTGCAGCAGGCTATCAGTGACTCTGGCCTTGGGTAAATGTTGCAGGTCACACAAGGTGGGCATCAGAACATGTTCTCAGATGAGGATTTACTTGGAAGAAGCTCTAGGATGCTGATGAAAGAAGTGAGAAGGAGCAGAGGGGGATCGAAGTCCTCAGACCATGCCCCGTCTCACGCTTCTCCCTCTGCCTGCTGCACAAGTACGAACCGTGATGGTCCCGAGCCTCATCCCACTGTCCAACTCCTTACCATGTCAACAGTCTTTTGTTGCTTGCTCTTTTGCTGCTGTTTTTACCTTTCTTACAGATAAGAAGAGGTCCAATCAGCCCGGAATTGAAGTCCTGTGTCAGGTTTTCGTAGGAGTAGTATATGTGTGTGAGGCACGGGGGGTCATCGTGTGTGGGCCCACTGCTCTCGCCGATGCTCCACTCATAGGTGTATTCCTGGCCGGGGGCCACAGTGTCATCCATCCTCTCCACAGGGAAGGTGTGGTCGGCATAGGAAGCACCTGCAGGAATAAAAGGCACGAAGACGACTGGGCAGTTTCTGAGCACTGCTTTTTCATCATTCTCAAATTGGGTGCGCTTTCTAGAGATGGGCATGCTCTTAGATAATGAACCTTTGTGGTTTGGCTTCCCAAACAGCACTTATATCCACTTCCATGTCCATGTGTTATAAAGGCTTTGCTATCATAGTGAGAAATGTTACTTGTAAATTAGTTGAGGTTAGCAAGTTCCTTTTTCAGGATATCTAAGCAATTATAATATTGTCAGAGGATGTACATACTTACCAAAGAGTGACAGAGAGACCGACAGAAAAAGAGAGAAAGCACCCTCCCCAGTGGGGGGTGGTCATGCTGAAATCCCTTCTTCATTTCTCCATGCTGTTAGGATTTGGGACATGCACACACACACCCTGCAAGTTTTTCAAGCCACAGGGTCCAGGACTTGAACAGCATGGGGAGCCATATACTATCTGGTTTCCTTAATCACTAGGCCATGGGGCTGGCCCCCAAATTACTATTTAAATAGAATCAGAGAATTGAATCACCTTGGGTTAGTAAGTAAGTCATCTCAGAATATGAGACTAGATTCTATTTTCTCTGTGGTACTTGTCAGGACACCGTATTCTTAACAGCCTGGTGTCACGAGATGTGAGCACCCTTGGAGCTGTCTATGTCTAGTGTCTTTCCTTTGTGTTCTTTCTGGCTCCTGTCACCCTCAGCCTTGTTTTGTCTCTTCATCACATCCCTGCCATCTGACTTTTCCTCCAAAGCCTCAGGATCCAGCTCCTCTGTGTAGTCTAACTGTCCTTGTAAATGCAGGACCTGCCTGTCCTTGTAAATGCAGGACCTGCCTGTCCTCTGAGGTTTAGATGTCCTCTGTCCTTAGGTGTGAGTGGACACTGAAGACCCACCACTAACACCCACACACACCCCAGATGTTTCCTCATGGCAGGAGACGAGGATGTAGACATTTTTTTTGTTTTTTTTTATTTTATTATTATTATTATTATTATTTTGTACTAAAGAGGGGAACTGAGATGCTCAAGAGTAGAGGTGCAGAGGGTTCAGTGGGGCTTTCACCAGCTAAAGGAGGATGTGGAGATGGAGCGAGATAGATCAGGTCATAAATGGCCGAGTGGGGCAGGCAGCTTCCCCTGCCTGAACATCCCTCGTTTACTTAGGTGAAAGTTCGGCTATCCTCCGCTGGTCCAGGATTTCACCTGAGATGCAGTTACCTTTGGTACAACAACTAGATAAGCTCCCTGCAGTGGAGGGTGAGAGCATTAAGAGTGTGGATGGGCAGACAACAGGGATCCAACAAGGTCTGAAATGTCTTACTCGATGGGGTATAGGGCATGTGTGCTCACTGGACAGAGACAGAGGGAAGGAAAATGACAGCTCGCCTCCCCAGGAGAGAGCCACACCACAATCCCTTCTCCTGTTCTCCTGGGATTTTGGGTGCGCGCGCGCGCACACACACACACACAGGTGTGATTTTTAAGCCACTAGGTCCAGAACTCAGACTTCAGTCAGCCATGTGGGAATCCAGCATCTTAACCCCAGTACCGCCTGCTGGCCCCTTAAAAGAGTATTTTTGGGACCAGGAGTTGGCGTAATGATTACATCACTGGATTCCCACTCAATCATCTGTGGCATGACTCCCAGACCTGGTGGCTTAAAACGGACACTGGGCACGTGTACCTACATGCCTAAAATCCTGAGAGGATAATGGAGGAGAAGGGATTGCAGAGTGGCCATTCCCACTGGAGGGTGATTTCTTGCTTTCTGTCTCTCTGGCGAGCACACACACACTATAGCAAAACTCTATTTAAAAAAAAAAAATGTATTTTTAATTATTTTTTTAAATCTCCAGTTAGTGGGTTAACTTTGCCTTATTAGCTTAGTTTACAATATACAAAGTTAACATATCATGGTCTCCCTTCAAATCAGATCATACCATTTCACCTACAAGAACCTTACAATCATTAGTTTCCACTTCCCTCCTCCCAACCTTTGAAGTAATGCGTTTTACTTCCACATGTGCAATCATGCCCCACAATATCTTACTGTTTTTACTTTAACATTGAGATGATCAAATATCTTTTCAAGAGACTTAAAATTATTCTTCTTATAGATCTAAATATCTTTAATATAATATTGCTTCTACCTAAAGGAATTCTTTTCATGTTTTTCTAGTCTGCTTGTGAGAAATTCTCTCAGATTTTGTAGGTTTTATTTGACCTTCATTGTTGTTGTTGATGAGCCAGAGATATGCTTGCCAGAGAGAGACAGAGAGAGAGGGAGAGGGAGGAAACATCCCTACAATGGGGTATGGTTATGCTGCAATCCCTTCTCCTCCATTTCTTCATTTTTATAGCACTCATCATAACTTGCAATTAAATGTTTGAGAAGTTATATAACAAATTTCGCTTCCTCCTAGTAGATTATATTTGTATCTGCACTTTGTCACCAGAGTGTGAGCTCTTGAGGAAAGCGCTGATTGCACTTGCTTTAGAGTCCACAGTGCCTTCCCCCAGACCAGGAGAAATACAGAGCTGGTTTCTTGTTGAAAAATAAAAAAATATAAAAATAATTAAAAAAAAAACAAAACACGGAGACCAGCAGGTGGCATGGTGGTTAATGTGCTGGACTCCCGCATGGCTGACCACGGTTCTGGCAGCTTGCTTTCTTGCTTTTCCTCTCGCTCTGCCTCTCTCTGATGAGCGTGTGTGCCCTATAGCAAATTAAAATAATAATTATATATACAACTAAATAAATAATTTAGAAAATTTTTTCAACACAACAGTTGGAGACTGGAGCGCTCTGTGGCACAGCGGTGATGCACTGGCCCAGAAAAGCCAGATCCCACATGGCAACCATGGTTTGAATCCCTGGCCCAGTCAGCCTGAAATGCTGGGCATGCATCTGAGTGCTGGGATCTCATGGCCTGGAGAGTGACGGGAAAGGGACTGGGGTAAGACGAGACCCTGTGGAGGGTGTTTACCTCTCCCTTTCTCTTTCCATCTCTCACTCCCACAGGTGTGCACACACATGGTGGCATGAAAAAAAAGAAAAAAAAAAAAAAGAAAAGAAAACTTAGAGATCCGTTAATGCAAGAGCAAACTCCTGTATGGAACTTGGCTGGCCTGCCAGCCCTGTTCTGCTTTCTGACCTCCTGATCCTCCTGAACCGGTCTGGCTGCTGTGGCCAAGTCTGTGACCCTTGTGCTAGTGAAAGTTTAACACTGAATTTTATTGTGTCTTTTTTCCCCCCGAAAGATGATTGACACTGATAACCCATATTTACTATAGGCTAAACTTTTACTCTAATAATAAAGAGGATTTGAATGTTAAAGTTATCTAGAATCAAGAAATGATAAAAGCATAAATAACTTCCTATGAGATATGACATTATTCTAGTCTAAAAAAGGAAAAAAAAATAGTGTATGAGGAAGAGTCTCCACTGATAAACATGCATAATCTCTGGAAAGTTACAAAAGAGCTTTGGTAGCAAAGTACAAACAGGACCGATAAGGAAAGTCCCCGTCAGGCTGGGCCTTGCACATAGACTGGAATGGCACACTGGCGGCTGAGGTCGTGCTGTGAGCCAGCCCTTCATCTGTGCTTCCTGCTGTATGGCCTCATGTAGTTAAAACACGATGTTTCCAGACGGGAAGCTTCCACGGTTAAAGTATCACAGGGAAACTAACAAGTTTTCAGAAGATAATATATGATATTCTTCATAGTATAAGAGAACTTTTGGGGACCAGCAGTTGGCGTAATGGCTATGTCGCTGGACTCCCATGCAGTAAACCATGGTTCGAATCCCAGACCTGGTACCTTGAACTCACGCCTAGCGTGTATGCGCCCAAGATCCTGAGAGGAGAGTGGAGGAGAAGGGATTGTGGTATGGCCGGTCCCCCTGGGGAGGGGTGATTTCTCGCTTTCTGTCTCTCTGTCTCTCTCTTTCTGGTGAGAGCATGCACTCTATAGCAAAAACCTCTCCAAAAAAAGAGAGAGAGAGAGAAATTTTGAAGTTCTGCCTTTGGATAAATCCATGCCCATTCTTCTAATGTCAGGTTAGATGTCAGCTTCCTTCTTCCTTGATCTCTGATTCTGGTGCTTTTTGGTTTTCTTTCTTCCTTTTTTTCTTTCTTTCTTTTTTCAGTACTCATCACAATGTGTAAAATGAATATTTATGAGATTATATGATTACTGATACTTTCTCCTGCCATTGTGTGGAAGAAAACATGTGAGTTTTGGGATTAGAATTGCTAACAGTGTTAACTTGGGAAAGTTCCTCTTAGCCTAATATTTTAAGATAATATCTTTTCTTTTTCTAGAGATGACATTACCATCCTTGATGAACTACAGGGACCGGAATATATATGTAACATGCTAGGTAGCACATGGTGATGCACTTAAGTATTTTGCTTAAGTGTTTCTTTTCCCAGCCATTTCACATGATGAGTAAAGCTTCTGGTCTTTATGTCTACTTAGGGTAAAATACATATTAGGTCTTCTGGAGTTTTCTTCCAGAAAGTCTGAAATTGGTGGTTGTTTTAGGCTGGGTTGCCAAAACAAAGTGCTCTGACTGAGTCGCTTATCCACAACAGGTGTTTCCTTCCCAGAGTTCTGGAGGCTGAAGCCTGAGATCGAAGTGCAGCATGGTGGGGTTCTGGAGAGGCCCTCACCCAGTTTGCAGGAAGTCACCTTCTCGTGTTTTATGGAAAGAGGGCAACAGGGAACCAACAGTTGGTGCAATGGCTGTGTTGCTGGACTCCCATGTAGTCAACTGCGATTCAAGTCCCAGACCCGGTGGCTTAAACTCACGCAGGACGTGTATGCATGCATGCCCAAGATCCCGAGAGGAGAATGGAGGAGAAGGGATTGCGGTGTGGCCATCCCCCCAGGGAGCGATTTCTTGCCTTCTGCTGCTCTGTCTTTCTGGCAAACACACGCGCCGTATAGGAAAAACCTCTCCCCAAAAAAAGAAAGAAAGAGAGCAACAGAGTTCTTCAGGGCACTAATCTCATTATCAGCATAGCCATCCCTGAGGTCTAAACACCTCCCAAAGGTCCCACATCCTAATACATTGGGGTTAGGATCTCAGCCTATGAATTTTGGGAAGGTACCAACATTCGGTCCATTGCAGTGATGCATCTATTCAAAGATGATTGAAAACTAGAAATAAGAAAGGTAATTTCTCACAATCACCAGCAAAATCCACTCCAGAGCAAAGAAACAGTATGCATCAACCCTACTTCCACTCCAGTCGTCTGTCCCAGGTTAGCTCAGTGACGGTCATTGTCCCCCTCTCATCCTTTGCTACGCTTCACGCTCTGTGCCAGCTATCAGGTGCCAGTGTTAAGGAAGCTCAGCTTAGGTAACAGGAGGACACACGCTGGAGCCCTCATTGTGACCAGTCTCACCTCTAGGCTTCTTCTAAGGTCACTCAGTGCAGAGGCCACAATTTGAACACAGCCGTTGGTCTGGAATAAGAATCAATCAATGGAATGTCTGGGGAGGATCTAGGATACATTTGTACTGGCTAGAAGGGCATGGATGGCTCTCTGACATCGACTTTCTTTGTAAATGGCCTGTGTTTCACATCTAGGCTTATTTGAAACATAGTAGGATTTTAAAAACATATGCTGTATACATTTGAAGTTTATTTTACAACATGATATTTTTTATATAGAGATAGTGAAAAGTTGTTGCAGTCATGCAAATTTGTGCCTCTTTAATTGACCAAACTAAATGACTGAGAATTTCACATTCTTCTGTCAATTAACTATCAGATCAATTTCAAATAATTGAATGAACGATGTTATTAAGTTTACTGTGCTACTGAAAAGTGAATTATGGGCACTCTGAAACAAAGACTAAACAATATAGATTTGCACATGGGCTATATTCTGGAGTGAAACTGAGTGAGGGACTATGAGGTAGTGCAGAGATAACTTTATCAATATTTTTGTTCTTTCATTTTTAAAATTTTACTTTTAGATTTAAACAGGCATGTCATATCTTTGATTTCCCAGCCAACATAAGATTAAGTGTAAAATATAAATAGCTGTTTAGAGGAAGCACTTTTAAAATGCATTTTTGGTCAATCTGATTTTGACTTGGTAATCAAAATAAAAAGTTAAAACTCTAAACTGAAAAAAGGGGAAATAGGCAGAACAATGATTACATTAAGGCGCAGAAAGTCCTTGTTCGGTCTCTTGCTAGAAATAAATTCTTTACACAAAGGTAGCCCTTCACTTCATACTTAGTTTTTGCTCACTTCCTGTTCTGGCCATCGCGGGCCTTGCAACTTGCTTACTCTTGTCATGATCTACTGCGTTTTTGCCAAAGGGCCCTCAGTCCTTTTTAAATGCAGAATGAGGCATAGAGCTTAGGGAAAGTAAAGTTGTATAAAGAGTCTTTTTGGATACTCTTGGGGTGCTTATTCATCACACCCTCCCTCATTACTTATTTCTGTGAACAACTCCTCTCCATTTAATAAACTTAATGAATGCTTCAGTGCATTCAAAGATACAGGGCATTCTTTTAGAAGCTATAATTTAGGCAATGAGCAAATTAAAATGCTGATGTTTTGCAGAAAGCCTGATTCCATTGCACAAAGCATAAATGAACCCTCTTTATGAAAGAGAGTTAATATTTTTGTGATTTATGAGCACTATTATATTGGCCATTATAATTTGTTTCAGATTTATCATATATTCAAGGAAGTATCTATAAAAGGCCAAAATATTCAGATGAAAAGTGCAAAATGTAATCACTACATTATGTCAAACATTGGAATGTTTTGAAAAAACATGAAAGACTAAGTTTTCTAATAGAGAATTTGGTAACACTTAAAGAAAAAGGAACAATCTTTGGCGGAAAATTTACTTTTTAGTCAGTTGACTTATCAAGAGATGGTTAATATACACCTAATTTTGTGGTGTAATGCTCATTACATAATCCATATGTTTAACTATGAGAATGTAAATCAAGTAAAAGAATAATATGAAGATTAACTATAAGACAAAAATTTTAAAGATAATTGACAAAATCAGCTTTGAAATTCTTCCTGAACAGCAAACTGTGGTCAAAGATTCAGCGTTATAAACAGTTCAGTGCATGCTAGTTACAGTTTCTGAAATTTTAGCTTGACATTGAAACCCTTTTAGTGATAGAAAGTTTTAAAACAAATAAGAACAGTTGAAGATATTTTATTTTTTAATTTTAAAACACATTCCTATTAAATACATTTCTACAGGAAGTGTCCTTGTAAGCATGTTTACAAATGCCCCTCCTGAAAGGGTTCCCATTCCTGCCCTGTGTGTTGTTTTTTTGAGTTTCTTGTGCTATGGTGTCATCTCAACTCCCCGCCACCCATCACTGAGATAAAGGCATCTGGATTCGGTGTAGCCTATTCCGCATGCAGTTAGTATACCCCCATTAGTAAAACATAGATCAACCCACAGAGGGAGGAGTGTTCAGGAATGTTCTACACAGAATGTTCACACAGAGGACATGAAAACATGAAGAGTGGCTTGTCCTTTACCAAGAAGGACACCACATATCTATTTACCAGATTTGTATCCCATTTCCAAGATCAATTCTTACTTTCTGTACCAATATGCATTGACCTTGCCTTGATTCATGGGAAAGAGGCAATGAGGCAATATCAGCACCAGCAGTCAGGTCCCCAGTGGGGGTGCTGGGAGTATTGGAAGCGATTGCTTATGATTGCTGGCTGTGGGGCAGACAGGGACAAACAGCAAAGGAAGAGGAGCAGTGTTGTAAAGTTCACTCGCTGTGCAAACAGCACGCCTGGGTACAAGTCCACAGTTCCTACCTCCTCCCACCGTCCAACCTCCTCCCACGTTGGAATGGAACCTGAATGTGACATTTTGACATCTGAGTTCCTCCCCTCCTGCTCTACATTGCTGACCCCTGCAGAGGCCTCATAAGTAGGGTAAGCGATTGGCCCCGTGGCAGGGCAGGAGTCTAGCACGTGGGAGAAGCTGCTGTGCACATTGCCTCGCCCAGAGTCCTGCCAAATTAAGTTCTGAAGATGCCTGAAATTTCACAGTTAATGCTTCATCATTTTTCTCAAGCCAGAATTAAGTGCTGATGCAAACTGCTGCTGACCTATTATCACTCACTTCCACCTGGGTGAGAATTAACTTGGCAATTCACACAGGAAACAAGAAAAACCCCACTTTCTCATTCACAAGGTGTCCGATAGTATTAAGCTTCTTGAACACATCGTGAAGAATCCTCTTCACTGTGGTAGCCTACGTCAGGCTATCCCAGATCACTGGCTCACGGGCCAGATCTAGCCAGCTGCCCGTTTTTGTCAATAAAGTTTTATTGGGACACAACTATGCTCATTCATTTTCATATTGTCTAAAGTTGCTTTTATACTAAAAGCATAGTTGAGTACTTGCAACAGAGATCCTATGGCCCATAAAGTTGAAGATACTCATTATTTGGCTCGTTATAGAAAAGTTGGCTAACTGCTGCCTTGAACCATCTGGCAATGTATTATTACTCTTGTTTTAAGATGATCGCGTTGGAACTCAGAGAGATTAGGTAACTTGCCCACCCAACTGTTCAATCTCACTTTACCTCTCTCTGTCTCTTTCTGGTAAGCACAGGCACCCTATAGTAAAAAAACTTAAAACCAAAAATACAGTAAAACTGAGATCTAGGTGGCTCCAGAATCTTTTAGTTTTAGTTTTCATCTCTGAAAGTCATGAGTGTTTTGGGGACCCGCTGCAGGCGGGAGACGGTCCTAACGACATGTGGCCACAGTAGTTTGAAGCGGCCGGCCTTGGTGTCCCAGGGTATGCGTTCTCCCTGGTAGGAGAAGGGAACCCCTCTTACCTTCTGAGAATTTGCTGTACTCTATTCCTTGAGGGTGGATGCTTAAGGGCTTGTCCGCCTTGTTCTTGAAGTGCACTTTCATGATGTCCCCGACTTCGGCATATAAAGTGGGCCCGAGGAGTCCTGTGGGAACAAGGACCCAAAGTACATCTGTGTTCAGGGTCACTGAGGGCCTAGAGCTACTGAAGCAGAGGCACGTGCACTAACCCCAGTGGCTGGTCCTGGCCGGGGCCGGCTGGCTCGCCTTCAGTCTAGAAGGCTCTGCCAGCTCACTGGCTCTAGTTACGTGCAGCGGGATGAAGACAGGAAGGCCCAAAGCACGTCAGGAGAGTAGGAGAATGGTTCTGACCACCTCAGCCTCAGCAGAACCACATCTTCCCTTAGCTACTGCTGCCTTTGGTCAAGGACAGAAAGGTGCTCATTTCCAGCTCTACAAGGTGAGGATGTGGCTACTTTAGATTTCTCTGAGGTGGGAGACTTCTTGGAGGAGGGAGCAAATCCCACAGCTCTGTGGCCCTGAGGCAAGGTCAAAAGTCCCAGTGGTAGTGACCCTGAAGTGTCCCAGGAACAGGAAGAAAACAGTAAGGGACTGAGAGCAGATGATGTGGGTGGTGAGACTGTGCTAAGGACATTATATTTTTCTTTTAAGTGAGATGGGAAATCATTGGAACTGTGTGTGGAATGTTTTCGAAGTTCACCCTGAAGTTTACCCTTACAACACCCAATATTGCTTCTGGTGTCAGTGTGGAGAACTGACTACACAGTGACAAGAGCAGAACAGAGAGGTGAGGTGGCACCAGCAGGAGTCAACGGTGCAGAGGTAGGTGTGTAACGGGGAGCACTGTGCAGGAGTCAGATGCTAGACATATGTGCAGGTAGAGCTGACGGGACTTGCTGATGGTGCCATTAAGAACGATCCCAAGGTTTTGGTCCTATCAGCTGGGTAAATAGCAATATTATGAAGGATACCCAGCAGAGCTCATGGGCCAGGGGTGCGGAAGTTGAGAGTGAGGTTGCACTAGCTACATGCAGGCCCTGTGCTAGGTCCTGGGCCCACCTGGATCAATGCGTCCCTATCTCTGCCTTGAGGCACCGCAAGCTGAGGTCGATTGGTAGGAGCTATTCCCGAGATAGGGTGAACACTGCCTGAGCAGGGGACCAAGGGCCAATTCTGTGTGGGGCTCCAGGGAGGACTTGGAACTCTGAAGGATCATTGACCAGCGTTTCTCAAAGCGTAGTTCTTCAGCTCTCTGGGTCAGAATCCCTCAAGGTCCTACCACAGGCCGAGTCCAAGGCCCAGAGCAGCCCCAGGAAATCCAGGTCTCTGGCAATGGAGCTGAAAATCTGCATTTAGCATGTGTTCCAGGGGGCCTTGGTGTCCTGGAAGCTTGAGAATCTGTCACCAAAAGCTTCATCTCATGTAGGGGATGGGAACCCACTACTCTAACTTCCAAGCTACTGTAAGCTCTCAGGGCATTTGGTTTCTGCCCACTGGGAGTACGGTGCCGGGAGAAGGATGTCCCTGCAGTTGTGGAGCTCAGCCAGTCTGAGTGCAGTGGTGGTGGTGTCTTACGTTAACCTCACAGCAAGCTTTAGGGTAGATATTAAGAGTCCCATTTTCAGCTGAGGAAGCTGAGCCTCAATGATTTAAAACTCTAGCCAACATTACACAGCTAACAAGAGGCAAGCTGTGATTTAAACCTCAATCTGACTCCAGATGCTGTAAACCACCTCTTCATGATACATTCCCACCACGTATTCATTTAGTCATCCTGGAACTGTTGAGTGCCCACTTATTCTAGGTGTCAGAATTGCGATCTTGTGTGGAAAAGTAAAGTATAGTAGACACACTCTTTAGAGCCTAGAAAATATGTAAAGTAACACAGAGTGTAATAGTCACACACATATTTAACTTGCCACTTTCAAACTGGTGTATTATGAAATAAAAACAGGATACTGTGAGGATAATCTGAAGAAGAATCTATTCTATTATTGGAGGCACAGGGGGAGATGGAGTTGGGAAATGTTTCCTGAAGAAGTGATGCTTTAACTGAGGTCCAAAAAGAGAGGAAAAGCCTGGGCAAGGCGGTTCTAGGGAGGGCGTTAGCATGTGCAGAGGTCCTGGGGTGGCAGAAAACCGGCCTCCGTGAGAACTGATGAATGGCCCCGGGAGGGTGGAGCTTAGGAGGGAAGAGGGACAGGCAGCAGGCGAAGCCAAGGGCATCATCAGAGGCCCATCACGAGGACCCTGTAAGCCTCAGAGTTTTGCCTTTAACCTAAGGATAACCGGAAGTTGTTGCAGTTTTCATCAGAAGTGCAACATGGACTGGTTTGGTTGTGAAATCTGTGGTTGCATTCGTGGAAGGTTATCTGGGGCGAACCAGAGTGGATGCTGAGAGAATACATGGAAGGCTCTAGAAGAGGTGTTTGTGACCAAGACCAAGTTTCTAGAGATGCGGAGGAAAATATATCGACAGTCTACTGCAGAGAAGAGCGTGTCAGGGCTTGACAATGGAGTGGGCTTGGGGTCAAGTCACCATGAAGGGATGATGAGATCCTGGTGTGGGGAGTTGGGCAGATGAGTTCCCAGGGTAGGGAGGCTGGAGAAGAGGGATCCCAGTGTGGGGGCATTGAATGGATGAGGTATCAATCTCAGATAGAGTACTGGGAAGGTTTTATTGGTGGATGGAGTAGGCAAAATAGGGCCTCCTCATGCCCTGAGAGGTCCCTGTCCTAAGCCCTGGGACCTATGAATCTGCTGCCTTAGAGGGCAGAAGGAACTCTGCATAAGTGGTTAGTCCAGGAAGTGGAAAGATGTTCCTGCTGTATCTGATGGCCAGTGTAACCACAGCATCCTTGTAACAGGCAGGAGGAGGGTCAGAGCCAAGAAGAGACGGGAAGGTCTGTGCTGCTGGCTTGGAAGGAGAAGGAAGCGACCATGAGCAGAGGGTGCAGTGTCTAGAGGCTGGAAGAGGCAAGGAAACCTGCAGCCTCCCCCACAGCCTCCAGGAGTGCAGCTCTGCCCATACCTTCATTTTAACCAGTAGAACCCATTTTGGACTTGTGACCACAGAGCACGCTTGTGTTGTGTTAAGCATCAAGTCTATAGTAACTAGTTAAGCAGCAGTGTCACACCATGGTCTCCGAGACCGAGCTCCTGTCTTCCCACCCCATCCCACTCCTTTCACCGAATGCCACGTCCTTCCTGTGCCTGAAGCTTGGTGTATTTTTGTTAGCTCTGGGCAGGACTTGGGGCCACACAGTGTGAGCCTCATGTTAGATATGGATAAGAATCCTGGGACGTGGGGAGGGGGACAGGATGGCTTTCCCAAAACTGGCTAGTGAGTCAGCAGCATGGCTGGGAAGTCAGGTCTTGGGACTCCTGCCCGAAGCCTTTCCTATCACATTCTACTGGGCAGGTCTGGACTCTCACCTCCTAGACAGTCCAGGTGTCTACACCTTGGCAGCCCCTGACTGGCCACTCCCACCCGCCAGAGCTGCTGATGAACTGACAGGCTGCTGACCTGACCTGCCGCCACACTGTGCGCTGCATCTCATTGCCATGGTCCCCTTGCTTGGTTGATCTGCTTGTTGGTATCACCTGGCTGGAATGCCAGATGCCCGGAACAAATGGACAGTTTAGGGCATTTATTCAGCGTCCCTTCCTGTTCCTTTAGAACTAAGGCAAAACAAAAGGATGTTCTCATAAATGTGAACCAAATACCTTCAACCACGCCGCAAACACAGAGCCAATATTGTTTGAGCTGCTCTTCAGCTCCTCCGTGAGCTGACAGCTAAGACTTTATCCACTCTCTCCTCCATGCCCAAAGCTGGGCCGGGACAAGGAGTGGCCCGTCTGAGGTTTGGGGAGTAGCACAGTATGTACCCAATTTCATGCCCTTGTGAAGTTGAAAGGGCTGCAGGAGGTCGGCTAATCCAAGCCTCTGCTCTTGGGGAGTGATGCCTTACATAACAAGGCAGTCCATTGTTGTGGCTGTGTTCAAACTCCTCAGGGGGACAAACATTTCATAATCTTCTTTGGAAAGATGCAGGGACTCCAAATCAGACTTTTAATTTAAGTTTGTTCATTTGTTGTTATTCTACGCAAGAGAGAGACAGACAGGCACCTGGCAGGTCTTCATGAACTCAAAGTCGCCTAACTGTGAGCCCCAGCAGGCAGAGCGGTGCCTTGGTCATCTATTCCTACAGCTGATACAAGGAGACAAATAGGCTGTGAAGAAAAAGCCTCAGTTCGCAATAGAGAAATTCCAGATTTGGACACTACCATGAACTACGTGTTCAAGAAGAGGCTGCATAAAAATGGGTGTTGAAATGCCTTAGTCATACCAAGACCTATGGGTGTGAAATAGCAGTTCTA